AGCACCCACATGGTGGCTCACAACCACCTGTAACTCCAGTTCCAGGAGGAATCTGATGCCTTCTTCTGGCCTCTATGAGCACTAAGCACTGATGTACACAGACATACATGCAGGCAAAATACCCATACACAGGAAATAAGAAGTTAAAAAAAAACAACTAAGTATTACTTATTTTATATTCCTATACTACTTTTTCCTTCCCCCAGAATGAAATGCATATCCTTCAGTTTTATTTTAATTGAAGTCTTGCCACGTACATTTAAACAACAACATGTAGTTGTATTAGCTCACTATACATGGTCATAACAAAATACACACACAAGTCTGGGTGTTTTGCACAAAGCAATTGATTTAGCTCATAGTTTGGGGGCTGATCTAGCCTCTGATGAGAGGCAGTGACAGGAAGGTGCTTGTAAGAGATCACATGATAAGACGGGAAAGGATGAGAATCAGAGTTTACTCGCTGGAGAACAATAACCTGTTTGGACTTGCTGATGCCTGGCTACCTGTGATCCTAGCACTGGAGGCGGTAGCATGTGGACCAGAAATTCAAGGCCAGGCCAGGCAGGGTAGTCTATGTCTGTAATCACAACCGACAGAGGCAGAGGTGGGCAGATCTCTGAGTTCAAGGCCAGCCTGGTCTACAGATGGAGCTCCAGGATAGCCAGGGCTACACAGAGAAACCCTGTCTCAAAGAGAGGGTGGAAGGAGGGAGAGAGGGAGAGAGGGAGGGAGGGAGGAGGGGAGGAAGGAAGGAAGGAAGGAAGGAAGGAAGGAAGGAAGGAAGGAAGGAGGAAGGAAGGAAGGGAGGGAGGAAGGAGGAAGGAAGGAAGGAAGCCAGCCTAGTGAGTTTGAGTGCAGCAGGAGCTAGGTGAGACAATGACAATGACAAAATAATCCACTCTCTTGGGAATCAATTAGGGCTCCACAGACACTGTATGAATCCCTGTCAGGCCAGGTCTCCACATTTCCTTCCACTAGCCCTTTCGGCCAGAATCTGCCACACTGGGGACCAGGCTTCTGTCATGTGATCTCCGGGAGAACACACTAAAATCCTACACAAACCACTAACATCGATGTCTTGACAACCTAACAAGCGCCTCTGACCACTGCGGCACTCTCCCCTCTCCTGACTTCCGTTCTGTCCTCTGGTATTTCAGGTCTGTCTGTCTTCAGCATCACAAATGAAGACACTATTTCACGCACGTGACTGCGACTGGCCTTGTTACACCCAGTTTCCCATGCTCACCATTGTGTCCCAGGGTGCTCTTCTAGAGTCACTTTCCTTGTGAGATACACTGTTGCTGAAATCCCTTTAGATTGCCCTCAGCCTTTGTTTACGTTTAAATGTTACACAGAACATATTTTCCTTTGTGTCTTAGTTCACGGAAGGGCTGTTTGCAGCCGGCAATTCTAGCTAAACTTTCCTTGTTCCCCTCCCTCGGGGATGGCTTTGCAGTCTCCCGGCTGCGGTGGCTGTCTTCCCTTACTCCACCTCAGCCTCTTCAGATGCGCAAAGCTCAGCTTCATTGTCGCGTGTCCTGCTTGAGATGCGCCGTGCTCCCCGTGGGTCTGCTTTGCCTTGTTCCCGAACACCTGGAATTGCTGTGTCTGTCCCGTTCCCTTCGTTCCTTGTGAGATTTTCTGATTCTGCTCTCTGTGCCTCTGTCATTCTTCCCGTATTTCGTGTCATGCCCCTGTTGCCGTAAAAACATCTCCCAGCTCACTCCTCCATTCTCCATGGGTTGTTTGTTGAATTTTGGATTTTAGAATTTTCATTTCTAGAAGTTTCGCATTGCTGCTGTTGGTACTTCCCCTCCTCTGTCTCCTCCCACCCTTCTCCCTCTCCCCTCGCCATCATTTGTCTCACGGATGCGCACACCCTGTCATGGCAGCTGGTATTTCTGTCAGTATCCCCTGTGGCCTCTTGGTGCCCTTCCTTCCCTTTCTGTGGCCTGCCCCTCACCGTGGCTCACACACCTGTGATTTAGGAAGACGCACTTGGAGCCTTTTTGCTTGATCGTACATTGCAACTCCTCCTGACCCAACCTAGGGACTTGTTCCTCCAGGTTGAGACCACTGCTCTCTTCCAGAGGGTTTCCCAACCCAGGACCATCCCAGCTCCCTGGGAGCTTAATCTCAAAGGTGACTTCCCATCCTCCATACCACTAGGTTCCCCAGAGCTCACTACTACCACATGGAATTGCTTTAAGAAACCCCGCCCCTTGGGGCTGGAGAGATGGTTCAGCAGTTAAGAACACTGGCCGCTCTTTAGGAGACCCTGGTTCAATTCCCAGCACCCACATGGCAGCTCACAACTGTCTGTAACTCCAGTTCCAGGGGATCCAACATCCTCACACAGACATACATGCAGACAAAACACCAATGTACATAAAATACAAAAAAAATAGATTATTAAAAGAAAGAAAGAAACCCTGCACAGAAATGACCAGTTCGGGTCAACTCACTGGCCCTCTCCTGAACCCCCACGCCCAGCACCCAGCACCCATCTGATGAAACCAGGGTTTCAGCCCCCACTTCTCACTCTCCCTTATGTTTCTTCACAGTGCGTGCTACCAGCTGTCATATTTTATATCCATTTGCTAAACTGCTACTTGCGGGCTACCCCCGCACTAGAATGTGATGACTTGTTCATTTATATATCCTTAGCAACTAGTGCAATGCCCAAAATATAAGTGCTAACCCATTATATGATGGATGAATGAGCAAATGAGACGCAGCACCTGTCTCCCAACACTCTCCGTCTGGCAGCTGAGCCAGACAGGGACAGTTAATTACAAGACGGAGAAATAACTTCTGCTGTGGGGGGAAAGGAGTGTGGAAGAGAGAAAAGCTCCTTCCAGCCTGGAGGACAGGGCCTTCTCTGCTGGGGCTGGAGGGGGCTAGGGATGGACCAAGCTGAGATGCTAAGGATGCGTAGCCATCATTCCACAAACAAAAGCCTTCGGGGAGAATGTTTCAGAAAAAGACCTGACCAAAGACAAGAAGGATGCTATCTGGGGAAATGAAAGCTGTTTGGTGCGGCAAGATTGCAGAAGGGAAACTGGGCTGGAGAGAGGCCACAGGTCAGACCCCCTACACTTCCAAGGTCCACTGGTAGTTTGGCAGTGAGGAGGGGAGTGTGGGGTGGTTTCAGCTGTGGAGAGAACATGCCGAGGTTGCAGGGCAAGAGGTTCCCTCTGGCTTCTGGGGACACATAGAGGCCTGCACGGAGGCCTGCACGGAGGCCTGCACGGAGGCCTGCACGGAGGCCTTACGGAGGCCTGCACGGAGGAGCGCTGGCTCTGGGCCAGGACTGGGGACACAGTGGAGCCCTTGGGATCTCTGCTGGTGGGAGAACCCACTGAGTGGGCTCATTCGATGGCAGAGGGGCTGCTCAGCTGGCATTGGTTGGGATGCTCTGAAAGATGAAGAGCCCCTAGACTTCTGAGCCAATGCTTTTTAATTAGGGCTGGATTTAGCAAAAATAAAAATAGATATATGGGACATGAGGCTGAATTTGAATTTCAGATAAATGAGTTAACTTTTTAGTGTAAACATGTCTTCAAAAGTGAAATTCTTTCGCATTATCTGGAATTCTCTTTTCAACAGCCGCCACTCACCCACCCTGGCACCCGCCTGATGAAATAACAGTGCCCAACAGCCCGGGGCCTTCCTGACCCCACACCCGACGCCAGCCCTTCACCGAGTGCCTCCTCAGACCCCTTCTCTGAGCGGCATCCCCAAACTATCCCTCCTGCCTTCCTGCCAGTCTGGAAGCCCAGAAGCTGGTCCACCACCTAGCCTGAGTCTATCTATTGGGAACCCTGAGGACAGCTAGAGCTGACCTGGTAGCCCGACCCAGCTCCCAACCCTCACTGCAGAATTTACAAGAAGTGCTGCCCCAGAGCCTGGACCCCAGTGGGGCTCAGAGCACAGGTTCAGGGCTGTCATTGTGGCCGCATCCTCCTTTGGGTGGCTCTGGGTTTACTGGTTCTGAGAGGCCAGGTCCTGGGCTCAAGCAAGGTCCTGCTTCACCTGGGTCACCTACCGGACCACCCAGTTGTCCAAAGATCCCTCAGCACCCTCATTAGCATGGAGACCCAACCCATGGATCTCCATGCTGGACTAACCATGGGGATCTGATGGAGGATCCTGCCTGGAGCCAGGGTGGGAACGAGACCTTCCTTGGGATGCAGCTGGGGAGGTTTCATGGAAGATGTGGTAATTGGACCAATGGAGGACTCAGAAACTGGGGGTGGAGACATGGCCAGCCTGGAGTTGTGTGGTGTAGGGGACATCACTGACATAGTAGGGGCCAGAAAGGCTGAGCCAGGTCCTTCTCCAAAAAAAGTGGGAGAGGAGACCACAAAATAGGAACGGAAGGATATGCCTAAGCAAACGCAATATTCCGTCCCGCCCGGTCCCGCTGTGGGGTCAGACAGCACCAGACGTGGGACCTGAACAGCTTGCCTCAGTTGAAGCTGCCAACAACAATAACGGGGGTTTGAAGAGATGGTTTAATACCTAAGAGATGGTTTAATACCTAAGAGCATTTGTGTACAAGCACGAGGACATGAGTTCAGATCCCAGCACCTATGTGAAAAGCCAAGTATGTCACACAAGCCTGTAACCTCAGCAGTAACGCTGTGTGTGTGAGAGAGAGAGAGAGAAAGAGAGAGACAGTGTGTGTGTGTGAGAGAGAGACAGAGAGACAGAGAGACAGAGAGAGAGAGAGAGAGAGAGAGAGAGAGAGAGAGAGAGAGAGAGAGAGAGAGAGAGAGAGAGAGAGAGAGAGTAGAGGATTGCTGGCCCTCAGCAGCCTGGCTCCATGTTGAGTGAGAAACGCTGTCTCAAGGAAATAAGACGAAGAGTCTTCCAGCACAACATCCGGCATCCTTCTCTAGCCTGTGCAAGGACGCTGCACCTGCACACATGTGCACGCATACACCACAAACAACACACAAATAGTGAGAATAAAGATGATAACAGACATCTAATAATAGTAGTAGCCATTTATTGAGGCCTCGTGTAGTAAGAATTAAGTGGATTTTTTTAACTGAATCTTGCAAAGAGTTACTACTGTTGTCCTGCTGTAGATGGGGAAACTAAGGCACTAGGAGGTTGGACCATGTGTCTCCACAGCCACAGACAGACCTGGCATCTGAGCCCAGGCAACCTTCACACTCACCAGCCATTGAGGAGCTAAGTACATGACTACCCAGAAACACCCAGAAAGGCAGAGGACCCCCTGGGAGGATGGCAGCCAGCTCTGATTCCCTTATTGTGACTCAAATGCATGATGTGTCTGGTGGCTGCCATGACCTTGAGAGTCTACCCCAACCAGCTGCTCTGGTGCCAGGAGTGCCTAAGCACAAGCCCCAACGCGGCCTTGTTCAGCTGTACAGAGAGACACGGATGTGTGAAAGCCAAAAGTATTGGAGTTCCCAGACTCTCCTGCTGGTTGATAAGTCCTCAGGTAACAGCTGCATTTCCAGGGGCAATTTTGGAGCCAGTACCTTGGCACACAGGCCAACAGCACCCCCTACTGTCCATCCTGGGGAAAGCACTGATGTCTCCCACCTGATCTGGAAGGCAGTGCAGATTCTCTCCCATTGTGGACAGAGTCAGTAGATTCTGAACACACTCCCTCATGTCCACCAGGGAAATCCATTGCTACACAATGGTCTAGATCCCTCAAGGCCAGCTGGCTCTGGCCTACTTCAGGGGAAAAGACAGAGGCCTGGCCTTAGCTGCTGGTCTATACTACCTGCTAAGGAGGCTAAAGGGAAGGGTTGGATTTCTTAACCTTTGGAAGGATAGAAGGTTGAAGTCAACATCAGTGGGACTGGCAAAAGGAAAAGGGCACAACGCTGTGAGCACTGTGTGCTGAGCAGTCATAGCCTCCTGGCTCGCAGGCCAGTGGTCTGTCCATAGCCTGGCCAATGGGGTTGCACCCAGGCATGAAGGACCAGGAGGAGGAGCCACACGCTGCCCTCTGCCCTAGGTAATTCTGAGAGGTGACAGGACTCCCTGGAGGGTTTCTGCAACCAGCCCACCACCTTCCCTGGATGGGCCAACACTGTGGGTTGCCAACAGTAGGAGAGGCTGAGGCTGAAGGCTGGGGAGTGGGTTAGTGTGTCATCTGGGAAGAGCTGACTGCCTCCATCTCTGCCTTGGCTTCGGCGTCTGAGTAACACCTGTGCGAGCAGAACCACAGGAAGAGGAAGAAACCTGCAAGACAGGCTGGTCAGTGGGAATGTCGCCAGAACCCAGCAACCTCCTGTCATTGGGGGATAGAGGGACAGACACAGAGGACACTTTCATGCAGTGCAGAGGCGAGCCTCTCCTCTGGGCAGATGTGTGCCCAGATGAGCTTAAATAGAGCTGTAGCTTCAGCCACCATCCACCCCTTGACCTAGAGGACCCCCCTCCCCGTGACTAGCCCGCCTCCCAGCGCCTGCCGCCCTGCGAGCTCCTGCAGCCATACATACCATAGAGCGAGTTGAAGACGGTGAAGAGGAAGAGCTGAGGTAGCAGGAAGACACTGAAGGAGAAGAAGGCGAGGGCCCAGGTGGTGCCCAGCAGCACAGTGAGACCCAGCACCATGGCGGTGTCCCGGTAGGCCCAGGGGCTCAGCGCCTTCTCCCGCATCCGCAGCCTGCACAGGATCCACAGAGCCCAGGCCAGCACCACCAGGTTGAACAGAGATGTGAGGCCACCATAGCCCATGACCAGGACGCTGTGTACAATGGGACTGCTCACCCAGCACCTGCACGAGAGGGGAGGAGGCCAGGGTTAGCGTGGCCCCGAGACCTGCAGGAGGCCGGGTGCACCTGAGCCTTGGGACCGACTCTTACCCCGCCCGGTCTTGCTGTCCCAGTGGTTATAACTTGCCTGATAGTTCATGGGCCTAAGCCCCTCACCCAGTCACCACAGCAAGGTCATCAGCACCTCCATCCACTTCCTGAAGTGCCTCCTTTCAGCCTTGGTGCCTCAAGCCTCCTCCCCTCATCCTGCAGCCTCACCTCCTCCGTGCCAACCTGACCAACGTCCTAGTAGATCACTGGCCTGGGCTCTCACTCTGGAGGCTTCCTCTTCCATTCTGCCCACCATTGCCACCATCTTGTGCAGTGGGACACAACTCCCTAGAAATTTCCCACCTAGGGCTGAGCAGTACGTGAAGCACCACCCACGGATTGGTGGGTCGTTGCTCTAGAATGAAAGCCGGGGAGCTGATGAGCCGTAGGGAAATCCCACAGAGGACACTGAACCTGGGGTGCCTGCTGAGCCCTGACCTAGGCCTTCCAAGAGACCTTGGGCTTTTCCCATCCAGGACACCTGCAAGATAGGTGCTAACCTTTCCTTGGGTCAGAGCATGCCCCATCCCACGGTTAAGGAAACTGAGGCGTCTGCTCAGGAGCACACGCTGGCTGGGGCACGGGTGGAACCTGAAGTCCCTTGGTCTGGGCCCGAGTCTGGGTTCCTGACACAATCAAGTATCTAGGTACCTGCTCCAGGGGCCCTGACACTGGAGTCACAATGTCCTTGAACACCATTCGCAGGAGCCATGCACATTGGTAACCAGCATGGTAGGTCCTTTGCTTTGCTGCTACAGAGTACTCTAGCATGAGGGTTATACCACTGCTTGGTGCACCAGCACCCATGCTACATGGCCACACTGCATTTGAAGAGTCTAAAATGTCATTTCAGTTTAGGGATGCAGATAGATGAAAGGTGGGTAGATGATAGATAGATAGATAGATAGATAGATAGATAGATAGACAGACAGACAGATAGACAGACAGACAGACAGATGAGATAGATGATAGACCCTGTGGATTAGTATTAATAATCAACAGCATGTAGATCTGGGCATTATCTCATGCTAATTGAGGTGGGAAGACCTCCCTCTGTGAAGGGTGTGAATGGTGCCCCTCCTTGACTGGGATCCCGAGTCAAGAGATCTGAAGAAAGGCAGCTACGCAGAAGCACACATTCATCACCTCTTCCGATGTCACACAGACACGTGACCAACTGCTTCAGCTCCCGCCACCTCCACTTCGCCACCATGATATGGACTGTACCCTGAAACAGGCAGTCAAAATAAAACCTTCTCTGCTAAGCTGCTTTGTCAGAATATTTGATCACAGCAACAGAAAGGTATCTAAGGCAAATGGTAGATCAAAAGACGGATGGATGGATGCATAGATAGATACATAGATACATAGATAGATACATGGATAGATGGATAAGTAGATGATAGATAAATGGATAGATAAATGACACATAGACAGATTGATATATGATAGAGTCTTATGAGTTTTTAAATGGAAGGTAAATGTCACCAATGTGGGATAACAATCTCCTGAAGGACAGAAGAGGGTAAGAGAAATACAGGGACACTGGTTCATAGTTGGAAGGTTCCCATTTGTACACTGCTGTGTTCCTGCCTGGGGACCTGCCAGTTAAGGTCTTGTGCTCACACTGCACATGAGATAATGACATACATTTCTAAAGGGCTCACCCCCCAGCAGAACCCATGTCACTTCCCACTCTTCCCCAAACTCCCGATGACAGCCAGGAGTTGGAGTTGGGCACTGTCTGGAGCCGCTGGTAGGCTAAGTCCCAGCTTTTAGTTGATAGCCTGGGATCTCAAGGATGAGTTCTTGAGCTGTCTTGCCTCAGTTGCACTATTGTGACATAGGACAGACACTGTGAGCAATGAACATACTCATCTACCATTCCTGCCACACAAGCCCTCAGCCATCCTGAGCTGCCAGGGAGAGTCGTGGCAGCTGGACTACCAACTCTCCAGACGGCCTCGGTCTAATTCATTATTTTATTTATTATTGTTTTATTGCACGGCGTGTGTGAGTGTAGGCATGTATGCCATTGCACACGCAGATGTGAGGGTCAAGGGACAGCTTTGGTCTGCTAGTTTTCTCCTTCCACCATAGATTCTGGGGATAGAACTAAGGTTGTAAGTTTGTGCCTCGACCCACGAGCTGTCTCACCCACCCCAATAGGGGTCTCCTACACTGCTATGCTGAACCCAGCTGCCCACAGGGGTCTCCTACACTGCTACGCTGTACCCAGCTGCCCATAGGGGGTCTCCTACACTGCTATGCTGAACCCAGCTGCCCACAGGGGTCTCCTACACTGCTATGCTGAACCCAGCTGTTGGAAGAGTCATGCAATAATAAGCTTGATGTCCACAGTAGAGTTTTGTCTTCACCTCTGCTGCCTCTCCCCTCCCCCAGGTCCCACACCAGTGGCATGGGAGGGAGCTGGAGCTCTGGCAATGTCCTGTGCTCTGTACCAGGAAGGAAGAGCTAAGCTGAGCCTGCCAACTAAGCAAGGTGGCCTGAAGGCGCAGCAGTCAGGTCCCAGCTGAGCTGGGAAGCTCTGGGGCCTGCACTGGGTCAAACCACAGGGCCAACCACGTGGCCACGTGATATATAGCCAAGTGTTTCCAGGGCCTCCTAACTCAGTGGCTCTCAATCTGTGGGTCGGAATCCCACAGGGATGACATATCAGATATCTACATTACAATTCATAACAGTAGCAAAATTACAGTTATGAAGCAGTAACAAAAATCATTTTATGGTTGGGGGTCACCAAAACATGAGGAACTGTATTAAAGAGTCACAGCATTAGGAAGGTTGAGGACCACTGTTGCTGGTCCTGGAGACTCAGCATGTATTGGTGTCAACTCTATAGCTTCCTAGTCAATCAGCACAGAGCCGGCATCCATCCCTGCAGAGACCTCAGGGACATGGAAAGGGTGGGCAGAACCCACTGGAAGTCCACCCCCCAACCATGGCTCCCTCTTAGCCCCTCAGCCATCACTTCACCTTAGATAGCCCAGGCCCACCAGGCACTCACATGGACACATTCTGGAAGCCTGTGCCGTTGTCCTGGCTGTTGGAGAAAGAGATCACGCAGGGCCCGTACACTGAGCTCTTGATCGCCAGAAGAAGAAGCACCAAGAGGGCTGGAAACCCTGAAGGGTGACAAAGACAGGAGGCCCCAAGATGAGCCGGCTCTGGCCCTTGGGCCGCTGGCAGAGGAGGGCACACACACCGTGCTGAACCGCAGGCCCACTCAAGATCCGGCTTTAGGACCAGCTTAGCGGTCTTGGCTCACCTCCAAGATGCCAGGGCTGAGGGGCAGCAGCGGTGGCGGTCACCTGGAAGGTGGCAGGGAGCTAACAGGAGGGGGCGTGGCTGGGGAACTTGAGAGGACGTGGAGACAATAACAAGATGGGCTGAGGTGCTGGGGGTGACCGCGGAGGTAGTGCTGTGGTGAGGACTACTAAGGGGATGGCGGTGGGGTGCAGGGGGTGAGGAAGGTGATGAGGATGGAGATGGGGTGGTGGAAATTAGAGTAAAGGCTGGTGTGGACTGCGGCAGCGGCGGCTGGGACACGGTAGTGGTGACAGTGGGGACGGGGGCTGGGGCGATGGCAGAGCTGAGAGTGGGCATGCGAAGGTCGCAATAGCAGTGATGATAGTGTTGAAAGCCAAAGACGATCTGCGGAGGTGCTGGTAAGCAGGAGCAATGGTGGCACTGGAGGTGACGCCGTTGATGGAGTTAGAGATGGCAGAGAGGACTTAGTGATACTGAAAATGGCGGTAAGTGTCAACATGGATGCTTATGCAATGGTCACTGTGCCGGGCAGGACGGCGTGGGGTTAGCACCCTGTACACTGGAAGTTCCAGTGGCAAGGGAGACAGACGTCCCTTACCCCAGCCCAGCACGCAGAGCTTGAGCAAGTATCGGTGGATGTAGACATTGTAGACACGCCCCAGGAGAAGGTAGAGGTTGCAGCCTTCGATGGCCATCCAGGTAAGGCAGCTGAGCAGCGCATAGTGCAGGGCGGCAGCCAGCGCCGTGCAGACTGCCTTGGGCACTGTGGGCAGGGCCATCTGGGAGCTCAGAAGGAAGGTGACATTCAGGAGCAGAACGGAGCCATGCAGGTTCACGTGGATACGTGTGACCGAGTCACTTTGCTTCCTGCGGGTGGGACATCACCCAGATTGTGCCGTGGCCTGGCTCACAGACGCACAACGATGGGGAAACTAAAGCTAGTGGGGACAGACCCAAATGGCTGCCACACTGTTAGGATGGCTTCTGCTCTGCCTTCCCACCTGCCTCGGGAAGCTGCAGCAAGAAGGAAGACAGGACGCAGCAGTAGGGCAGGCAGGCTGGGCAAGGCAGGGGTTACCTGGAGTGGGCATACAGCAGCATGGTGAGCAGTGACGCCACGATGGAGACGCTGCAACCCACCAGGGAGATGTACTCAAGAGGCATCTGTAGCCCGGCCGGCACTGGGTCTCCAGACAGCTGCTACAGGGCAAAAGAGGCTAGGGGCCTGAAGCCTAGAAATGCCCAGCTCTCTCTGGGCTCTACCCGAAGACTCTTCCAGACCTCAGTTCCAAGTCCCTTCCCCACAGCCCAGCCCAGTCCTGCCTTGAATGAAGTCACAGACTGCACTGTGGTGGCTTTTGTCACCTACCACCCCCTGAAAGCACACTCACCCCACTCCATGCACACAGGCGGGGCACCCTCCTCCCATTGTACAGATAGACACACCAAGCCTGAACTTGAGACTGGGTAAGGGAGGTTCTTGAATTCCATTAGTCAGAAAGCCAGCAAGGCGTGAGCCTGAAGATGCAGGCAGCTGTGTTACCATCCCCTAGGGCATCCTAGCTGAGGGCCAAGTCTCCATGGAGCAGGCAGAGTTGAAGGACAGAGATGGAATCCTGCCTTAGTGTGCGTTAGCCCCTGGGTCAAGCCATGCCTGAAGCCTTCTAAAGGAAGCAGGCCCCTAAGTGGACTTGTGTGACTTCACGCTCTCTTCAGCTTTGCTCCTGTACCACCCGTCTGGGGCTCCGGCAGCTGCCAGCCCCTCCCTCCGGGTGAGCACCCACATACCATGAGCACAGCAAAGTAGGTGAGGTGGTTGCAGCGGCAGAGCACGAGGGACGGTGAGGGCAGCTCTGTGTAACAGCCCTCGGGGCTCCAGGACCCCCAGCCGTGCTCGCTGGCTCCCTCCTTCCAGAAAACACAGGTCACCGTGTGCCCTTCCTGAAATGAGATGTGGGGGTCCATCAGTCCAGGGGTGCAGGACGAAACCCCATGTCAGGGGCTGGGGGCCTGGGGCCCAAGATATTCAACTGTACCACTGTCGACATTTTGTGGGTGCTGGCTGGCTGGGCTTTGGACAATCCCAGATGCCAGCCCCACCTTCGCCACAAGTTCTCAGTGTCCTGGGCAGGTGGGAAAGCTTCTCTGAGTCTCAGTTTATTCATCTGCAAAATGGACCACACATATCCAAGTCACGGGGTTAGCAGAAGCACAAAAGGCCGTTCAGCACTTGGAGGGGGTGGGGTGGCAGTGTTGGCTCTGTGTGTGACAGACCTTCTATAAACCACCGTTTGATACCTCCTCCCAGACACAGATCCATCCCGGGAGACTCACTGGCAGCCAAGTCCTACGATGGGGAGAAGGGGTGCGACACAGACACTATGGAAAGCAACAGAGGAGGGGGGGCAGGGGGAGCCAGAAGAGAGCACCTGGGCTTCAAGGGGAGGCAGGCAGACTGGGGACCCAGCAGCAGCAGCGTCAGGACCTGTGCCTTCCAGCTCTTTCCTGCTCCAGCATCAGCACCCCACCCCACCCTCCTGGTTCAGCCATAGACACACGCATCAGTCGGACCTCTTGGAGCCCTGGTTTGCACTGGTGGGGAGGAAACTTCCGAGAAGAAGAGAAGCAAACCCGGCGACCTCAGCGTCCATCTTACGTAGGAATGAAAGCCAAAGTGGGAAAGCGTTGCTGAGACTGGAGAAGACTGAACTCTAACAGTATTATATGTCCTTGCCTGGATCCAGCCACACCTGAAGGTGTTACTCCCCTGAACATCCCATTGATAGGAATGCATAACTCCCCGTTAGAGCTTAAGCTGGTTCTCTAGTGCTAGCAACTGAAAAAAAAATCATGACAAAGTTCTTCCTTGTTGCTTTACAGAAATTTTCAAAGAACAAATTTAAAGTTGTTTCCCAGATGGTGCCACGAATTTCAGTTTGGCCAAACCAGGGTTGACGGGAAAGCTTCACCGGCTGGGGTGGAGGTGGGCCCAACAGTACCAGACTTTGATTGTGCCAGAAGCTGATGTTGATGGGCTTCTGAAGGTTGTTCACCGGCCTGTGATCCAGCTGGGCCCCCAGGACATAGTTATTGAGCAGGGATGAGTTACTGTCATCCTGGGAGGGCAGTAGAAAGGGGAGCCAGAGACATCCTGCGTGAGATCAGAATTCTCATCCCAACCCCTCCTCCCTGTTGCCTTCTGTCTGTCTCCCATCTTGGAACAGACATTGAGGCACTAAGGTCCCGGGTCTCATTTGCAGACTGCGACCCTACCTCCTTGTGAGGGCTAATATATATTATCAATTTGGCAATATCTCAAGTCACCTTGAGTCAAGCCTCTGGGCAGGCCAGTGAGGGGTTATCTAGATTAGGTTAGGCTCGGATAGGCCTGTACCCACCATGATGGACTACACCCTCAAACTACGGGCCAAAACAAATTCTTCCTTCCTTAAGTTATTTGGTCTCTCCCTAAAGCAGATAGGGAAAGCGGGCCCCAGAGTGGCAGTGGCCAGCTACAGTTGCACAGTGAGCTGGTCCCCATTCACAGGCCAACCTGGGATACAGAATCGTCCTTGGCCACCCTCTGCTGACCTGGAATTGCTGTGCGGTGAAGAAGTAGATGCAGATGAGTCGAAGCTCAGCAGGCCTGGAGGTCACACAGGCATCCTTGGTCAGCTCAGCAGGAAACTGCATGGCATGTGGGGCCCGGGCCTGTGGACGGCAGCAGCAGATGAGCTGATGCCTCATGAGCAGAGACCACACATCCAGTGCCAACACCTTTGGGCTCCCTCCCCATTAGACATGACCAGGCCTCGCCTGAGCCTCCTCTCTCTGACACCTCCTCCCCGACGCCCCCATCCATCTTCATTCCCTGAGAACAGAACCACCCCAGCACACACCTTGCACTAACCAAGCATCCTGCCCTATTAACACCAGAATCCTAAAAGGACACAGGTAGCCCTGGCTGCCACCAACCCTAGGGACCTGCCCTCCACCTGCTTCCAAGCAAAATCAGGATGAAGACCCTGACCACAAGGAGTCATGGGGTGCTTCCTCTCTCTGCTCTCCACACGGTAAAGCAAAAGAGGTGACTCCCCGCTGACCAGGTAGAGTATGGACAGGGGACTGGGGTACCAGGCAGTGGAGGAAGATCTTGACCATAAGCCCCTGCAGGACTTCCCTGGCTGCCTCTGACCTGGGAGACATTTGCTAGGGTGGTACTAGACAGAGAGAGGCCGGAGAAGTCACAGTCCAGCTTGAAGACCAGAGACTGGATGGAGTTTGTCTGCAGCGTCAAATTGTGCCCACAGAAGCTAGCGTTGAGCAGCATCTGCTCCAGATGATGGATATTCCTGTGACTGGGCAGCAGAAGGGGAGGAGCTGGAGACAGCCTAGGGGTGGGGCCTCCCACCCCCACCCAAACCTCCATTATTACAGCTCTACTCACCAAGCCCTAACCCACCCTGTGTAACCCGTGTCCTCATCCCAAGTCTTAGGAAATGCATGGACCCCTTTTGGCTCGTAAGGCTTCATTGAGGGTCCTCGATAGACAATAAACTCTGGGAGGGCTGTGGCAAGCCTCCCCTGAAGCTCCAGACCCTGGGACCAGGCACACAGTGGGTACTCACACAATGCGTACCCAGTCACCACAAGCTAAGTGTGTGTGTGGCCGAGGGTACAGCTGACTCACCTCCCTCTGGAAGACAAGGCCCGGCCCACGGGCTTCTCAAGGCGCTTCATCAAGTTCAGTAGCGTTGTCGGTGTTTCTGTGGACAGTGGGACTCAGACCTTGAGCCGACCTCTCAGCACTCCTCCCCCGTGGAGTCATCACCTACCTGCTGAGACACTCTGAGCAACCAGAAGGCACAGACAGAAGAAAAGGGACCTTTGTGTATCCATGTCCTCAGCTGGTGTCCTCTTGGCCTTGGAGAGGGGATACCACGGTCAGTACCTCTGTCTTCTAGATACTTCTGTAACCCCCAGCTTTCTTCCTCTTCTCTTATTCTTCATTGTTGTTGTTGGGATAGCATCTTCTGTAGTCCAGGCTGACCTCAAACTTGCTATGTAGCTGAGAGAGACCTTGAACTTCTGGTCCCCCTACTCCTTCCCCACCAAGTGCAGAGATTGCATGGTTCTCACAGCACCCAACAGTACTGAGGATCAAACCCAGGGCCCCATGAATGCTAGGCAAGCACTACCAACCCAACTACATCCCTGCTTCTCCAACAGCTTCTCCAACTCCCGTATTTCAGATAAGGAAACTCCGGGTGAGGTCAAAGAGTCTGTCTTTGCTTGAAGACGGCTGAAGTCAAGTGTCCCTGACCCCAGAAAATTGACCACCGAGTATAGCTGCCATTAGTTACTCAGCCTGAGAGTCTCCCTGAGGTTCTCCAGCCCCACTGGGTTGTGGGGGTGTGGGTACTACTAAGAGCAACAAGGCATAATCCTGACCCATCCTGTCACTAGCTACAAATAAGGATCTTCCCACACTCTTTCCCAAGTTTCTCTCCGTGTTGTCAAGCCTTGCCGAGAAAGTCCAAGGCCCTGGTTCAATCCCCAGTACCTCAGGAAAAGAGAGGAATAGATGAATGAATGAACTTCTACTTAAATACAGTAAGATTATGTCTACCCTCAAAACCCTTCCAAAAGGAGACTGGACAGGTAAGATAAGCACAAAGCAAAAGGCATAGGTGACGCATGCCTTTAATCCCAGCACTCAGAGGCAGAGGCAGGCGGATCTCTGAATCTGAGGCCAGCCTAGTTAATAGAGAGATCCAAGACAGCCAGACCTACACAGAGAAACCCTTGTCTGGAAAAACAAACAAACAAACAAAGATAAGCACAAAGCCACACGACAGAAAAATGGGGAGGAGGATGACAGCTGAGAATTTTCTAGTGAGACCAAGCAAGTGGCTGCCTGGAAAATAAATTTATCAGCTTTATTTGTTATTGCAATGCGGGAAGGAGGGAAAGAAGAGAGAGATTTGGGGAACAAGGAGACACCAGCTAGTTCAAGTCTCATGGCCTTGGAAGCACTTGAGAATGGGAGGCATTGGGGCCTCTGAATAGAGGGATGGAAGACGAGGCTAAACACAAGGATTTAGCCAGGAAAATTGCCCAATAGGTAAGTCCTAACCACATAAACAAGAGGACCTGAGTTTGGATCCCTAGAACCTATGTAAATGCTAGGTGAGCAAAGTGACCATCTGTTATTCCAGCCTCAGAAGGCAGACAGGGATCCCCAGAGCAAGCTGGCTAGATTAACCATACTGGTTAGCTCTGGGTTTAATTGAGAACCGTTGCCTCATTGAATAAGGATGGGAGGGAGGATAGATGATAGATAGATAGATAGATAGATAGATAGATAGATAGATAGATAGATAGATGTAAACATAAATTTGGGGTTTTTTTGGTTTTGTTTTTGTTTTTTGAGACAGGGTCTCACTATGTAGCCCTGGCTGTCCTGGAACTCATGATGTAGATCAGGCTGGCCTCAAACTCACGGAGAGCCCCCTGCCTCCACCTCAGGAATGCTGGGATTAAAGGCATGGTTACCATGCCTGGTTTTACAACATTTTTTAGTGATAATAGCAACATTATTCATTTAGGCTAAGAATCTATTTGATATAAAAACCTTGATAGAAGAATAAAATAATATGGCAAAAAATCCATGTACGTTGTGTCTGAATGAACCTGAAGAATTTTTCTTGGTCCTTTTGCCAAGCAAGTGGGATGGAAACACCCATGACTGTTGGCCACATGTGCTGTTTCTGCTTTGACATATCACAGCATCAGATGTTTCCCAAGCTGTGTGTCTGTGTTGTGACTTCATTCCGTAGAATGCAACCATGAGCCCCAAAGGATGAAAATGGTTTAGCAAAAATAAGCAAAACAACCCTTCATGTGTTGGCTGCATGCGGCGTACCCAGTCTGTTTCTGTAATCGTCTGTTTAGAATGTGCCTAACCTGGTTAGTGGGGCTTACTTTTCATTAAATTACTTCAGGAATTAATTAAAGCTATTAAGGGAAGAATTTTTAAAAATAGGGCAAGTGAGACGGCTCAGATGGTAAGGGTGCTTGCTGCGTGATAAACATCGTGACCAAAAGCATCTGGTTGGGTGCATTTCAGCTTACAGCTCACATTCCGCCATGAAGGGAGTCAGGGCAGGGACTGGAGCGAGGCCATGGAGGAGCACGCTTACTGACTTGTCCCCTGTGACTTGCTCAGCCTGCTCTCTTAACAGAGCCCAGGACCACCTGTCCATTAATGGCACCACCCACTGTGGGCTGGGCCCTCCCACCTCTTCATTAATCAGGACAATCCCCCATGGGGCAATCTGAGGAAGACAATTCCTCAGCGGATTTTTCCTCTTCCTAAAATGACTCTAGCTCATGTCAAGTTGACAACAAAACAAAACACAACTATGCAGCATTCTGCACAGGCCTGACTACCTGAATTCCTTCTGCAGAATGCATGGTGGAAGGAGAGAACCCACTCCCAAAGGTTGACCTTGACTTCCACATACATGCTGTGCAGGAGCATGACCCCCCCACACACACAGACACACACATACACACTAAATAAATAAATGCTAAAAAAAAATAAAGTTGCACACGCGTCCACACTCATACATGTGAGTGCACAATCACGTGCAACATGGTAATTAATTAATGGGCTGGCTAGTTTTATGTCAATTTGATACAAGCTAGAGTCATTTGGGAAGAAGGAAACCTCAACTGAGAAAACCGCCCTACCAGATTGACCTGTGTGACATTCTCTTTGCCGATTGATACGGGAGTGTCCAGCTCACTGTGGGAGGTGCCCACCTAGGGTTGGTGGTCCTAGGTGCTATAAGAAAGCAGGCTAAGGGCTGGAGATATGGCTCAGCAGTTAAGAGTACTGAGCATTCTTCCAGAGGATCTGGGTTCAATTCCCGGAACCCATATGGTGACTAACAACCATCTGTAATTCCAGTTTCGGGGAATCTGACCCTCTTCTGGCCTTCCTGGGCATCAGGCATATACAAGGAGAATAAACATTCATGCAAGAAAAATATCAATACACATAAATTTTCAGTTTAGAAAGAAAGAAAGAGATCAGGTTGAATGTGTCATGAAGAACAAGCCATTAAGAAACACTCCTCCATGGTCTCTGCTTCAGTTCCTGCTTCCTGGTTCCAGCCTTGAGCCCCTGCCCTGACTTCCCTTCAGGACAGTCTAAGCTGTGAGCTGAAATAAACCCTTCCTCCTCAAGGGTTTTGGTCATGACGTTTTATCACAGCAATAGAAACCTGGGGACAATAAATAAAATAAATTCTAAAGATTACAAAAATAAAAAGAGCTGGGGAATATAGCTCAATAGTAGAGTGTTTGCCTAGTATATGTGAGGCCTTGGGTTCAAGCCTTGGTACCACAAAAAGATAAACAGAGAAAGGGAAAGAAAGAAGGAAGGAAGGAAGGAAGGGGAGGGAGGGAGGGGAGGGAGGGAGAGAGGGAGAGAGAGAGAGAGAGAGAGAGAGAGAGAGAGAGAGAGAGAGAGAGAGAGAGAGAGAGAGAGAGAGAGAGAGAGAGAGAGAGAAGCTGGCTGGAGATGAGAGATGGCTGCACAGTTAAGAATGCTTGCCCTGAAATAATGAGGACTGGAATCCAGATCCGAGTTAAGAATGCTTGCCCTGAAATAATGAGGACTGGAATCCAGATCCTAGCTCCCATGTAACAAGCCAATGTTCCCCACAAGCACCTATATCACAGTGCCAAGTGGATGGAGACAGGGAGATTTCTGGAGCTTGCTGGTTCCAGCCCAACCAAGGCATAAAGCCAGGTTCAAGAGACCTCGCCTACAAGGGACAGTTATAGAGGATGTAGGATGTCCCACACCTACATAGAGTCTGGACTCTATGTGCATGCATGTGCAAACTTTCACACACAGAGACAAATGAAAACCTTTTATTTAAAAAAAAATTTCCGCCAGGCTGTGGTGGCACACGCCTTTAATCCCAGCACTCAGGAGGCAGAGGCAGGCGGATCACTGTGAGTTCGAGGCCGGGCTGGACCTCCAAACAATACAGAGAAACCCTGTCTCGTAAAACAAGACAAAAAAAAATTTCCAGCAAGCTAGTTCAGTGGGTAAAGGCACTTGCCACCATTCCTGACAACCTGGGTTAAATACTCGGGACCCAAATGGTGGAAGGAGAGAACTACCGCTCACAAGTTGTCCTCTGTCTCTTTATGCTCTCTTCTCTTTCCCGTTCCTCTCTCATTCCCTTTCCTGCTGTTCCCCTGGGGCAGACAGGACTTTTCCTGTCTCTTCTCTTCTGTCCTCTCTGTGTCTCTTTTCTTCCCGTTCCCTTCCCTTTCTAATAAAGCTTCTCACTTAAAAAAAAAGTTGTCCTCTGACCTCCACACATGTGCTATGAGCTGCACATATCTACACAGTAAATAAATGTAGTTTAAAGGTTTAGAGCCTAGCACAACACTACTCCCATTTAATCTCAGCACTGTGGAGGCAGAGACAAGCAGATCCCTGTGAGTTCTAGGCCAGCCTGGTCTACCTAGGGAGTTCCAAGCCATCCAGTGCTACATAGTGAGACCCTGTCTCTTTTTTTAAATAATAATAATTTTTATAGAAGGAAAGTTGAAGGTCTGGAGAGATGGGTCAGCAGTTAAAAGTACTTGTCAAAGGACTTGGGTTTGGTTCCCAGCACTGACAGGTCACAACCATCTGTCACTCTAGTTCCAGGGGATCTGATGCTCTCTCTTCTTCCAGACTCTGTAGGCAATGAGCACACTATGGGATACATATATACCTGGAGGCAAAACACTCACACACATAAAATAAAAATTACAAATAAATTTTTTAAAGGGGGAACTTTAAAGTATCTATTAATAGAGGAATAGCTGAATAAGATAGGGTTCAATGACTCCTGGAGAACAGCTTGGCAGTTTTATATGTATGTGTGTATGTGTACATGGGGGTGGGGGGAGAAAGAGAGGGAGGGAGGAAGAGAAAGAGGAAGGAGAGTGTGCACCAGCCAGGGCTGGGGTGATCATCAGTGCAGAGTGCTTGCCTCATCCATGCAAGCTGGGTTCCATGGCAGCACCACAAACCAAACACAAACTGAAACTAAAACCAAACACACATCCACCATGTGAGCTTGCAGTAGCTCTTGAGTGTTCGTCTGAGAAATAAAAACCTGTGTTCACAAAAAAAAACTGTATACAAACATTCACATTAGCTTTATTAATAATATCCCAAAATTGGGGAGCTGGCAAGACGGTTTCAGTGGGTAAGGGCACTTGCCACAAAAACCTGGTGACCTGAGTTCAGTGCTTGCAACCCACATAAAGGCTGGAGAGAACCAAATCTATTAAGTTGTCCTTTGACATCAACATTATTTCAACTACCATGCGCATCCCAGTCATACACATTCGTGCGACTGTATGTAACACAGCCATGCCATGAGATGCAACTCAGAAATGCAAACAAATATATTTCTTTTAAAAATCTATATACTTAGCCAGGCGTTGGTGGCACACGCCTTTAATCCCAGCACTCGGGAGGCAGAGGCAGGCGGATCTCTGTGAGTTCGAGGCCAGCCTGGTCTACAGAGTGAGTTCCAGGACAGCCTTCAAAACAATACAGAGAAATCCTGTCTCGAAAAACCAAAAGACAAAACAAAAATCTATATACTTGCCAGGTATGGTGGCACACGCTATAATCCCAGCACTTGGGAGACAGAAGTAGGAGGTTCTCTGTGAGTTCTGGGCCAGCCTGGTCTGCCTAGTCAGACCTGTCTCAATAAAAGCCAAAACAACAAACAAAAACTATATACTTAGGTGGATCTCAAAGGAATTCTACTGAGTAAACCAAAAAAAAAATCTCAAAATGTTAAGACAGTGTGATGTGACTAGCAGAACATGCTTGAAATGATAATTACAGAGACACTGATGAGATCAGCGGTTGCCACAGGCAAGGGAGGGCTCCTGTGAGTCTAGGAAGGGGGAACATGAGGACCCATGTGGTGACGGAGCTATTTGTGCCGTGACTGGGTTGGTTCTTCCAGGGGTTTACATTTGATAAAGCTCACAGACCTCGATCCTCACCCACACTGTCCTGGTGTGTAAACAAACACGTATCGAGCTGGTGATCTCTGTGAATCACACCAAAGTGAATTTCTTGGGCTGCAGATTACACTATAGGTGTGTAAGGTATCACCATAGTACACTGGGTGAAGGGCACACAGAATTTCCTGTACGTTTTTGTTTGTTTTTGACAAGCACCTGTGAATTTGAAACTTTTTTTCCAAAATGAACAGTTAAAAAAAGAAAACCAGGGACATAGCTCAGTGGCAATTGCTTATCAAGCACAGAGCTGAGGCTTGATTACCAGTATTAAGAGAGTACAGTGAATTAACATTTTACTTTCTGAAGTTAAAAGTGAACACAACATAGCATTTTGAGACTCTGAAAGTCACACACACACACACACACACACACACACACACACACACACACACAGGGACCGAGATGAGGCTCCGTGACAGAGCACTTTCCTAGTACATGCAAAGCCCTGTGATCTCCACACTAGAAGAGAAAAGAATGGTTGTAAGGGTGTAAAAACTGGAGCCTGAAGAGACAAGCAGTCAAGCCGATAGGAGCGCTGACTGATGTTCCAGAGGGCACATGGCAGCCCACAGCCACCTGGAACTCTGGTCCCAAGGGATCCAGCACCCTCTTCTGACCTCCCCCGACACCAGGCTCACAAGTGGTGCATAGACATAAACGCAGGCAAACGTCCATACACATAAAATAAAATAGTCTAAGGCTGTAAAACAATGTAATCCAATCCTCGCAAAAACAAGTCTCATTTCTTACACGTGTAAGAGCGTGACTCTGAGAGGGAACAGCATCACTTCTCTGTTGTCCTCATGTATGTTCCTAAGGCTTGCCCATATGCTACACTTGCATGTCTCCATTTCTGTTTACGTTTTGGACAGCTTAGATATTTACATCTTTCAAATATAAACAGTAAGTAAAGAGATAAATACAAAAAGCTATAAAATACAAAGCAGTCCTCCAGTCTGCAAGCCCAGCTGCTCAGTCCCGGGTCAGTGGCCTGCAGGATACCCCCTTTCTTGGCTCAAGCCAGTTTCTAATGTTTCTTTATGTAAATATAGACAAATGAGACTTCTCCCGTTTAATACACAGAGTGGAGCCTGGGCCGTACTGTTCTGCCTTAGACTTTTTCTCTTGAAAACACATCTGGGAGAGTCTGCTACAGCTGTATCCAGGGATGCCACCTCTTCAACTGCTTGTGCTAATGTTATCTTAGGGATGAGTCAGGATTTCTCTCACAGTCCTCTGTTAATAGCATTTAATGGGCAGGGATTCTAAGCCCTCTGGCCAGTTCTAGTCTTTTGCGCTTACAAACAAGCAGCCAGGCTGTAGTGTTGCCCGTTGGCAGAGTGCTTGCTGAGCATGACCAGGCCCTGGGTCCCATCCCCAGTGCTGCAAGAAACAAAAAACAGTTGTCACTGTGTGCATCACTTCCAACGTGTGCAGGTTCACCATTTGTACATGGTAGGAAAATCAGCCCTTGTCTATTCCATGAACACAAATAGTTCCTACTTTGACATTTTTTAACATCACATGATCCTTTATTTTGTGATGCAGACGCATCATTTTTAATCTTTTGATTTGTTTTGGTTTGGGTTTTGAGGCAGGGTCACACTGCGTAACCTGGGCTAGCCTCAAATTCACTATGTAACAGGCTGGTCTCAGTCTTAGTAATCTCCTGCCTCCACTTCCCAAGTTCTGAGATCACGGGCATGCACCACTACACCTGGTCTTCTGTGGAGCTGGGAATCAAACCCAGGCCTCTGCGCATGCTCAGCAAAGCACCCCAGAAACGGAGCTACTTCTCTAGGCTACAGCTTTTCCTAATACAATGTTAATATATAAGCTGGTTTAAGAGAGGAATGGAGCTGGGCTGTTGGTTGCATGATTCACTTACCTCCTTGAGATCTCAGAGAAGGGATGTGGGGCAAGCGTTAGGAAGACGGAGGAGGCTTTGGAAGGGATAACATGAACTGTTTCCAGTGAGGTGGCCAGGACCTGGTAGTGCAGAAGAGCTCAGCTGATGGAACTATCCGTGGAGAAACTGAAACCCAGTAGGCAGACAATTTGACCTCAAGGGTCTGGGCCCTAAGACTTGATTCCCAGGCCTTTGCCATGCCGTTCCCAAGCAGAGAGAGGAGCAGCCTTGCTCCACATCTAACTATAAAAATCAAGGCCGAAGAAGTCCCTCCCACCCCCAAACAGACAGAATCTGCAGTTTCTACCTCACTCCCAGGAGCAAACCACTACCTTTACTTCTGCCTGCAATCTCCAGGTACCCTTCCTGTCCCAGCTTAGCAGGACCACCCTGTCCCCTCAGCCAGCAGGTTTCCACCCTGCAGCTCATCACTTGACCCCCCCCCCGGGGGGAAACAGGAATCCCTTTCCTGACTTCCCAGATGGTCCCAGGAGACTGCAAGACAACATAACACCACAAAAGCAGGTTTGCTGGGGTTTAACAGCAGCCCTGTCACCAAGCTAGGAAACCAAACCTGAGCTCCAAATTATAAGCCAGCACCAGCAGTAGCTTCCCAAAGGTGGCTGGAGAGCCGAATGGCAGTAGACAAGAACACTATTTTAGGTCAACGGGGAGAGTAAGATATATATGAACAAAGGAAAGAGCTTAGAAAACTGGATTTAATACATAGTTCCACTGTCCAGTGCCCAGGCTGTGTGACACTGGGTTAAGAACTTGGCCTCACTGACCTTCCAGTTTTCTCATGTAAAATGGGGCCAAAGAGGCCAATTTCCCAGGAAGACCTCAAACATCCCCTTCTGGAATCCTTACTTGTGGGAATCAGACCCTGCCTTAACATAGGTCTAGTCCTCTAACCAAAGGGCGTAAGCTTGCATGCATCTACGCATGAGGCTGGGGAGTCCCTGTTTTCTCCCCAGAACAGATCACGTACCCCAGCAGCAGCAGGACATGCCTAGTACAATGCTCCTGTGCACACATGATCCCTCGAATGGCTACCGCTGCCAACCACAGGTGGGGACCCTGCCCCTGGCTTCTTCTAGCTGCTTCTGGGAAGGAATGGACCAGTGGGGTCAGCAAATCACAGCCCAGAGAGACGCCACTACGGGCCTGTGTCACAAGTGAGCAAGGACAGCCACAGGACCCAGCTTGTCTGCAGGCACTGCCGCCACAGGACCCAGCTTGTCTGCAGGCACTGCCTCCGAGACACTGCATCCAGGCTGCTCAGCAACTCACCAGTTCCCATTTGCTGGGCACAGGCTCTGTGCGTGCAGAGCCTCTAACAGCCCACACTCTACCACTCAAGACTCGGTGACAGGACTCACCCCATTCTGTGTATGACAAACTGGGGTCCAGGAAAGCTAGGCCCCAAAACATAACCATGCCTTGACTTCAGCAGCCACTGAAATCAACGGTGACTTTGGAACTGGAAGGAAGTGGGTCTCTAGCTCAATGCTCCTAGGATTCCATGAGGCCTGTAACGCCTGGGAAGGGGACTGTGGGGTCTGTGTGTGGGGACCACAGGGAGGGAGGCGGAGGGGTCCTAAGGGACTAACCTGTGAAGCTGCTGCAGCCCGTCCTCGATGCTGCCTCAATGCGGTCCTCCAGCGTCTGCAGGGAGAAAAGGAAGCTGGGAGGAGCTGAGAGCTGTGGCTTCTGTCCCCCTCAGCACCCTTGTCTCCTGGCCTCTCTGGTCTCACTTCACCCTGTGCCCCTGCCTCACTTCTTCTTTCGTGTTGTTGGCCTCTGCTTCCTCTGAGCTGCCGGCCAGACCAAGGTCTCCTTGATCTCACTCTGGGGCCCCTCCTTCACTTCCAGGGGGCGGGGCACACACCCCCAAAGAGTGTCAGGAACGGCAGCATGGTACCGTGCAGGGTTCAAGATGCTGGTAGCTCTGCACCCTTGGGCAAACTACAGCTCCTCGAGTCTCAGTTTCCCCATTTGTAGGTAGGGGAAATGGCCTCTGACTGACTTGACCATCCACAGGATTGATCCAGAGACCCGAGGCAAGGGCTGGGAAATGCTGCCTAGGTTCAAGTTCCAAGCCGTCCCCCATCTCCATGGGTTAAGAGAAATGGGGTGATGTCTTTAAACCGACTGAGCTTCAGTGTCCCCTCTGTTAGATGGAGATGCTAGTAGGAGCATCTTTGGGTGGGGATGTGTCCACAGTAAGACCAGCAAGTGTCACAGATAGTCAGGTGACACTCCAGAGAGGATAAGGACCCAGCTCAGAAAGTATGGCCAGAGCAGCAAGGGAGGCAAAGCTGTCCAGCCTCCCCTTTAGCCAGAACTCCCACAAGCCCACCCTGTAACACCAGCCTCGCTCTCTACAGAGCGCTAAAGAGCATGAGGAAGTGATTCTCGGATGGAAAGCACAGATGCCATCCCTTGCCCAGCCTGTCCAAATTCCCGGGGCAAACCCAACAACATGCCCTTCTACTCCTGGGAGTTGGGGCAAAGCAGGGAGGTCCCAGCACAGTGTCCCTCCCCTCTGCCACTCAGACCAGCTCCTTCCAGTGTTGGCTCAGGAAAGCTCACATCGGTTGCAAGGGGCTCAGAGGGAAAGGGGGTGCCACGCTAGATGCCACGGGAGATTTTGCAGGAACCTGGTACAACTGTGTCTCAACTCCTTGGCCACACTCCCACTGGGTGACTTAGATAAGCACTTGCCCTTTTGGGATGTTGGGTTTTTTTCCTTGTTATTGTCTTTTGTGACGCTTGGCCTCAACTCCAGGGCATTGTGTACCCATGGCAAGTATCTCCACCCTGAACCACACCCCTAGCTCCCTTACCCCCATGCTTTTGTTTTCCTTTGACCATTATAACCAGACATTCACCTCCTGGCCTTTCACATCAGTGGTCTCCTTGCTCCTCTAGGCCTGAAAGGAACTGCCAGCTCCTTCCTGCCCCCCAGTGAGCAGCTGCACGGAAGGCCTAGGTAGAGCTCTGATCCCCAGGCCCCCAGTTCCCTCTGTTTCCTACCTCACTGTTCTTGCCTCAGCTTGGGATGCCAGTAACCCCTGCGTACAACACCTTAGAACTCACCTTCAGACACTCTCATGTTCAGATGCCAGAAATGGCTTCCTAGTGCCTTCATGATCTACCCTCCAGCCAATTCCTACCTGGCTCTACCTGCCAGCCACATTAGTGCCCATGTCTGCTCTGCACCAGCTGTGACACACATGGACTTAGCATAGTCCCCCAACTTCACTCCTGCTCCCCAAAAGACATTATGGAGTCAACAGCATGAAGAGACAAATCAGTGCCTTCTTCAGGTGGGAATGAGATCATCGCCATCCCTTGACAAGGGTCTCCCCACAGGGGCTCTGTGAGGACTGAGAGCATGTGGGTAACGCCATGAGTCATTTACACCCTGTCTTCCCCATTCTTGATGGCAACCAGAAACCTCCAATTAGAGACAAAATGTCTTTAGCCTCTTTCTGATGTAGCCATATTGATGCAGCACTTGGTGGGGACATCAAACCAGCATAGCAGAATACAGTCTAGGAATTCTGGGCTCTGGTCATCCCTCTGGAGTGGCTGAGGCTGCCTCTGTGCCTGGCAGGGCTTAGGCTTTCTGTTTTTTTCTTTTATGGTTTTACGAGACAGGGTTTCTCTGTATTGTTTTGGAGGCTCTCGGTCCATCCCAGCCTCGAACTCACAGAGATCCGCCTGCCTCTACCTCCCGAGTGCTAGGATTAAAGGCATGCGCCACCACCGCCCGGCTGGGCTTAGGCTTTCTAACCCAAACATATGCCCCCACTCCCCACTCTTCATTCTTTCATTACACACAAAAAGCAAGATACCTGAGCTGAGCCTGGTGGTGGGCACAGTCCTGTAACCCCCGCATTCAGGAGGGCTCCACAGGAGGCCATTCAGTTCAAGGCCAGCCCCAGACACATGAGTGCTTGTCTCAAAAAAAAAATCTTAAAATTTTAACTGTGGCAACATATGAATATATCACAAAATTTGTTATTTTATTCATTTATAGGTATTGAGTTCTGCAACATGAAGTATACACACACACTGTTGTACAGCCATCACCACTGTCTATGACCAAACTTTTTTGATTTTCTCAAATGTAACACCCCATTCAGACCCAAAGGCCTGGCAAGTACTCTTCTAATGTGCGTCTATTAGTGCAGCAGCTGTAAGGATCTCATAGCCAGGGTCACACAGTGTGTGTCCTTCTCCAACAGGTTAATTCCACAATGCACACCATCAAGATTCAGCCACGGCCAGGCAGTGGTGATGCACACCTTTAATCCCAGCATTTGGGGGGCAGAGACAGGTGGATCTCTGAGTTCAAGGCCAGCCTGGTCTACAGAGCGAGTTTCAGGACAGCCAGTAATGTTACATAGAAACCCTGTCTTGAAACACCGTGTGTGTGTGTGTGTGTGTGTGTGTGTGTGTGTGTGTGTGTGTGTGTGTGTGTGTGTGTGTGTAGATATATACATTCTAAAAAGTAATGTGACTCAAAAACTTCAATATGTTGACAGCAAAGATAACAGCAGGGGTATAGAAGGTACATACTAGTATAGGCCACAATCACCCTCCAGTATCTTGAGTCTGAAGACAGAACCCCATGCCCTGTCTACCGGTGAGGGAAGCTAAAACCAGATTAGCATTTCACCAGGGGGGCCTGGAGAAGTGACAGTGATCAGACTGAGAGATATGGGCTCTGAGACTTCCCAGAGTGAATTTAAGCCAACCAGTGGTTTTCCAATATTAACTGGTTTCACCATGACATGTTGGTAATGATACCCAGTACACAGGATAGCTGTGCAGCTAGGTAACTGATGGAAGCTGTCTAGCCTACGGCTAGCAAGTACTAGGTTTCTGAGTGAGTGGTTCCCTTCACACACCCTATGCAAAAATACGTATACAACACACACACACACACACACACACACACGTATGTGCGTACGTACGTACGTACGTATGTACATACACACCTGGGAGGTGTACAGCCAGAGGCTAAGTACACCATCAGCCTGACTTCCTACCCTTTACCAACTCCAAACACTAGGGAAAGATCTCGGGGCTGTCACCGCTGGGACATCCTGTCTTACTGGAACAGCTCACTGCTGTGAGATCCCATCTGAGCCAAAAGCCAATCTGAACTTTCATTTCCCCAGCTCTAAAAGGAAGACATCTTTGTCCTGAGTTCTCAATGTGTGAATCCTGCAAGTTGCCCCTGAACAGGAAGCAGCCACTGGAGCGCCTGCAAGCTGGTCATCTGCAAATGCTAACAAAACTCGAGCATGCCCACCCAAACACTCTCGCACAGATCAGAGCAGCTGTCAGCATCCACCATCCACCATCCACTACCCACGCAGCAAACGAAAAGCGAAACTATAGAACTTGCAAAATCTGTGGGATTTCACGAAATTGGTGGAGGCCAGGCAGAAAAGGGAGCAGAAGACCACAGAGGGGGGAAGTGGCTGACTTCAAAGAGAAGTGCCGAGCTCTCAGGAGACTCCGAGTGGGGGCCTGAAGAGACAGCGTGGAGTTCAGAGCACTTGGTGCTAACTCAGAGGGCCCCAGTTTCCTTCCCAGCATTCACGTGGTAGATCACAACTATCCGTAACTCCAGTTTCAGGGGCTCTGAACCCTCTTCTCTCTCTCTCTCTCTCTCTCTCTCTCTCTCTCTCTCTCTCTCTCTCTCTCTCTCTCTCTCTCTCTCTCTCTCTCTCTGTCTGTCTCACACACACACACACACACACACACACACATACACACATGGTGCTCTTAGAGGGGGGAAAGATTCAAAGTGACCCGTTTCCAAGGGAGCCCTTGTTTGTTCGTTTTTCTTTTTTCTTTTTGTCTTGTAAGACCCGGTTTCTCTACAGTAGCCCTTGCTTGCTGTATTGTAACTCATTCTGGTTGTGAGCCTAGCCTTTAACGGCTGCGCCATCTCTCCAGCCCATTGTAACTCATTCTGTAAGTAGTACAGGCTGGCATCGAACTCAAGAGACCTGCCTGCCTCTGCCTCCCAAATGCTGGGATTATAGATCCCAAGTGTTGGGATTAAAGGTATCCACCATGGGCCTGGCTAGCCCTGATGTTTTTTGTAAAAAAAAAAAAAAAATCTTACAGTAAATCAGGTAGGAAGGATGCTACTGCTCAACTTCGTATGAAAAAAAAGTTTTCACCTCTCGGTACTTGATTCATTCTTCACAAACTACTAAGCACATGACCATAATTAGAATTGAAACATTCCTAATCAAAAGATATAACTTGTCTTCATAATCTTTATCTTTTCTCGAGAACAGTCAGTGCAGCCTAGCTGACCGACCTCGCAGTAGGATGTGGTGTGGAGACACCATTCCGATCTTCCTCTTCCCTTGACAAGACGACAGACACCCTACCCCCAGGAGAAAGGTAGCCCCAAAAGGACTGTGCACAAGGGAGTAGGTCTGCCAAGCACCATCACACACCAGAGGGGGAAAAAACTCCAGTGTGGGTAGGTCCCCATCACGCTCCGTTATAGGCCTGAGAACGCTTTGGTTGTACAAATAAGGGAAATTGAGGCCCCGTTGAGGACATGGACTCCTTGGCCCAGGTCCAGTCGGTGACAAGGCTGGCACTGGGAAGAGTGCAGCTAACCGGAGGACGTGGTGACGCTCCACGTGGGCCCGTGGTACCCACTCCAGTCCGTGGTTGGCGGGAAAACCGAGGTCGCGCCACCCGCGAGGGAGACCCCACGTTAGGCGAACCGGCGGGGGTCTCGCGGCCTGGCCCCAGCCCGCCGCAGGCCGCGCCCCACGCGGGGCCCCCGCCCGCTCCCCTTCCCCTCCCCCGGCGGGAGGAGGAGACTCGGCGGCCCTCCCCCGGCCTCCGGACGGCCGCAGCAGCCAGCCCCGCGCCCTCTCCACCCTGCACGGCATCTCGGACGTCCGGAATCCCGGCCCCGGCCCGAGGTGAGCGGGGATCGCGAGGCGGGAGGTCACCGCGGCCGGGGATTTGCTGCGGCCCGGAGCCTCTCACGCGCGGGAAGAACTCTGCAGCGGGGACAGGAGCCGGGGCGGGGCCGACGAACCCCAAACTCTGAGCCCAACTTTCTAGTCCCCGCTTGGGGTCTCCAGACCCTTCCCCTCCCCGGCAGAGACCGGGTCCCGCGGCGGGACAGTGGGGGAGGGGGCGCCCGTGGAATGCCGACTGGGCGGCGGGCGGGGGCGGAATGTGGAACTCTTCCCGGGGGACCCAACGTGGTCACCATGGCGAGTGCCGGACGGACGGGTGTCACTGGCCAATCAGAGCACGGCTTCACGCCCAGACCCTCGGCGCTGCCAATGGAAGCCAAGCGGTGGGGTGGGCGGGACCGCGCTGCAGGACCCGACCCCCGCACTCCGCCAGCCACTAGGGGGAGCGGGGCTGGTGGCCCACGAAGGGGCCACCAAGTAAGGACTGAGGGTGCACTGGGCCCTGGAAAACAGAAAACTAACTTCGGGAAGTAATGGGGACAGGTGGAGCTGGGTGCTAAGAGAGAGCTCTCAGCAGCCCGCCTCCCTGGTAGTGCTGGGGTGAAGTCTGCAAGCCTCTTCCCCATCCCGGAGCTTCAGTCTGTGTAAGTGAGATATGTCCCTTATTCGGCCGGTGCCCTGAGCTTTCGTGGGACTTGGATTGGTTGTTATTGGCACAGAGTCTGCTTACCTGCTGGAGGTATTAAGAATCTTGTTGGTGCCTCTCGATTCTATACATAGGGAAACAGGCCCAGAGACCAGGGACTTGCACATACCACAGGGCATAGCAGTCAGCATGGCAATAGGAAAGCTAGGATTAACGTCTGTTCTATGCGAATGTGCGATCCCAAGAGTCCTGGCGCCGGAGTCGGTGCCCAGGAAGGCGTCCACTTTCCTTTATCCAAGCCGCATTTGTTTGGTGGACCTAATGTCTGACGATACCCCCAATAGGCCTCCCAGGAGCACGGTGCTCTTCAGGTAGTCATGACCCAGCCTCAGAGGCATCCAATTCCACTCTTTAGCCCTGTTTACTGCCAGCATGCTGTGCCATGGCAGGCAAGTGGCTGTCCATCTAGGCCCCAGTTGACCCAGCTGTAAGGGAAAGAGTTGGAATCTGTGACTAGGGTATTTTTGTGACTCCTTAGTTCAATATAGGGATACCTGGGTTCTGTTCCAGCATGGAGACCTAGCTTTCCTCCCTCAGGCACACTCCTGCGTTTCTCTCCTGGAGGTCCAGCAGCTGTATGCTGGGCTCTCGAAGTATCCGTGGTCAGAGGAACCGATGCCCATAGTCTGCGGGCTGACCAGCCTTGGGCCCTGCACTTATCCAATAAGGCAGTCCCCCTGTGGTTTCCTACTGGGCTCTAATCCCTACCCACAGCCAGGCCTGTGGCCCTGGGCTTAGCCCAGAGTCCACCTGAATGATTCTAAGAGGACATAGGAGGAATCTGAGTTGTAGAGATCCCGGGTTACCCCTCCCCACAGCTGGCCCCCATCCAGGTCTTAGAGTTGCTCATTCCTCTCCACGGATGCTGAGGGACCAATCAAACACTGAGGACAGAATACAAAGCTGACTATCAACCCCCAGTCTGAGAGACCGCCTCAGGCAAGAGCTCAGATGTCTGACCACTTAGATACCCACCTGTATCAGCTCCAGGCTGAAACCCGGCTTCTGACTTTTAGGATGACACAACTCTCCCAAACGGTCTGACCACAGGGAGACCCCTAGTAGGAGCTTTGCCCATGTTCCATGGTCTTGGTAAACATTCACACAGCATCCGCGCTGGCTCGGCCCTGTTCAGATAGCCAACAAGACCAAGAAGCCTTTGGGAGCTTCACAGTAGGTTCATTCCCCCAAAACAGGAGGGGCTGGTGTTTAGAAAAACTGGCATGAGGTTAGAAAGGTCTTCTCAGGCGAGGAGCTGGTGCGGGCAGGTCTCGAAGGAGATGTAGGAGTTTACAACTGTAGACAGGAAGAGGGAGAGGCGTTCCCAGTGAGTCTGTGAACAAAAGAAGACCCTGGTCACTTTCTACGGGCAGTGCTGAATCTGTAGCCTGTAATGGGTGTCCAGTCAAAGTGTCCTTGTTTCCTGGACCAGGCAGGGGTCCAGGAGCTCTGAGACCTGCTCAGCTCTGCTGCTCGGCTCAGATGCAACTCTGCGTCCTCCAACTCTTAGGCAAGTGCTGTGTGCAGGGCCGGCCTTACAAGCTGAAGCAGCACAGGGTTCCTCTACAGAGTGGAAGGCGGGCTATGGGAGTCCCAGGCATGAGCAGGGCCTGTGTGCACCTGGGTTACCACAGATACTTGAGTCTTTGCAAGGCTGTTATGTGAGTAGGGTGGGCTGCGTTGCTAGGCAGAGGCCAGCTGCACGGGGGTCTGCACAGGTGTGCTTGTGGGGGTGGGGTGGACATGTCCCTCCTCTTCCCCCATGCATGTGCATACCTGTTCTGGGCCTGAGGAGAAAGGCAGAAGGTGTTCAGAGCCTCCCTGCCCCACTGTTCCTCCCTTCCCCCCACCCCTACATGCCAGAGGGGCCAGAGCTGACTTTGGAGGCCCCGGCCTGGAAGCCATTAGGGGCCTACATGATGTCTGCCCTGTTCCTGGGCCATGGGCTCAGAATTTCTGCAAGGAGCCAGTTGGAGCCCTCTCAAAGCCAAGCAGAGCCCTATGCCAGGCCTGGCAGCTCCGAGGCAGTGGGTGTGGCGGCCGGCGGCAGCCACTGCCACACTTGTACCGTAGGACTGGTGCTTGGGCTTCCTGCCAATCCCCCTTCTCTCCTCTCCCCTGCAGATGCTCGTATTGTTTCTTTTAGGGCTGTTCTGATGGAACTGGGCCAGGAAATTGGGGAAGGGGGAGGAGTGTGTGTGCTCAGAATTCTCTTAGGAGTGTATGTTTGGGGGCCCGTTAGTGTGCTGGTGCCTGTATACAAGTGTATCTGTATCTGTTTGTCTGGCTGTGTGCCCCTAGGTCCATCTCTGACTGTATGTGTCGTTTACCCGTTTTGTGTGGGTGGGATTGCTCGCATGTTCCCAGATGTGTCTGCGTATGCAGAAATGTCGAGATGCTTGTGGGCGCCAAGGCTAGCAACTCATCACGCAGGCCGAGACACTGAGTCAGAAAGGGCGCACTGCCTATCAGGAACTAGATCCTGGGCCTTGTGGCTGTCTGGTGACTGTCCACACAGTGTCTTTGGGGTTGAGATATGTATGGAACTGTAAGCAACAAGGGTGACACGGGCTCAGTAGTAGGGCGCTTGTTAATGGCCTTCCATGGAGAAGCTGGGGAGACTCGGAGTCTTGAGCCTGCTCAGAGGCTACTTGAATACTCACATGCCCCACACGTGGACTTCTGAAATGTAGCCTCTGCTGTATACCTGCCAAACACCCCGGGCCGTGGGACTGCAGATTGTTTATTAAGCAAGGCTCCAGGTGAACCTGAAGCACGCCCCGATGAAGGTATCCTGGACTTCCTTACTCTGCATCCCGCTTCCATAGTACAGGCGGAGGAGCAGAAGCCCGGAAAGGCCAGCCGGGCGTTGGTGGAGCGTGCCTTTAATCCCAGCACTTGGGAGGCAGAGGCAGGCGGATCTCTGTGAGTTCGAGGCCAGCCTGGTCTACAAGAGCTAGTTCCAGGACAGCCTCCAAAGCCACAGAGAAACCCTGTCTCGAAAAACCAAAAAAAAAAAAAAAGAAGAAGAAGCCCGGAAAGGGCCTGCTGCTTCCATGAAGCACAGACACAAAAAACCAAGTGTTCGGATCAGCCGCCTTGAAGGGAAGAGGGGAGTTGGAGCCAGGGAGAAAGTAGCTGAAGGCCCCTGCTGGCCTCCTTGGGGCCACCCTGGGACACACCTCCCCCTTCCTGCTTCTGCCAGTACTGTCCCATTAGTCCCCTGAACATGCGTAGGGGCTGGCTGGCTGGGGTGACTGTCAGTGGTGGTCACAGCCCAATAATAGTTGTCTTCTCCCACAGGTCTGAAGAGCCGTCCCAGACAGGTATCCGAGGGATAAGTGGGTCCCGGAGTCCATCACACACAGTGGTATCATGTAGGTCTCTCGTCCCTGGCGTCGTCCTTGAGCCTAGGCGAGTTCGCACCCAGGGCCTGCCCAGCCTCACTATGAGCCACGGCCCGAGCCCGCGGCTGGCCGAATCCCCGCAGCTGTCCAAGAGCAGCCTCCTTACCATCCTGGGCAGCCCATCCCCCGATCGCATGGGCCCTGCCGACTCGCTGCCACCCACGCCGCCCAGCGGCACGCCGTCACCGGGGCCGCCCCCCCGCGCTACCCCTGCCCGCGCCCGCTCTGCTGGCCGACGGCGACTGGGAAAGCCGCGAGGAGTTGCGATTGCGGGAGCTGGAGGAAGCGCGCGCGCGAGCCGCGCAAATGGAAAAAACAATGCGCTGGTGGTCCGACTGCACGGCGAACTGGCGCGAGAAGTGGAGCAAGGTGCGCGCCGAACGCAACCGTGCGCGCGAGGAGGTGCGCCAGCTGCGCCAGCGCCTGGAGACACTCACCAAGGAGTTGGCGGGCGCGCGCCGCGAGCGCCAGGAGGCTCAGGGCGAGTGCGAGGCGCGCGGACGCGAGCTGGCCCGGCTGCGGGGAGCGCGCGGAGCGGTGGACAAGACACACGACGGCCCGGAGCCAGAGCGAGAGCATGAGCCTGTGCGCGACATCGGGGCGGAGAGGCCGCCTGGCAGCCAGGTGCGCCCAGCTACACAGCTTGGCATTCGGGCCAGGCTTGCACAGAGACACAGATGGGAGGGAGCAGTGAAAAAAAAAAAAAAAAAGCTAGTAAGGATCTGGTCTCTAGTGAGGTGGTGGAGAGGGCAGGTAAAGATCACCTTGCATTGGAGATATCCAAGTTCTGGTGGTCTGTCCACCTCCCACCTTAGAAGTCATCAGAGACAAAGAATCTTCCACACCAAGCACAGGAGAGATCCGTGGACTTAGCTTAGGGAACTGGCTCTATGGTCCCCTAGCCAGGCCTTTGGGAGGGGCGTCAGAAAGGCTTTCCCTGAGGAAGTTAGTTAAGCTGAGACTGAGAGGAGGCATACAAATCAGCTGTGGCAAGTGCCTCGATCCACAGTCGTTGCAAAAGCTGGTTCAGCTGGAGGCCTGCCGAGCCTGGGGAGCCGTGGTAGCTGTACCCACCACTCCCAGTCTTTAGAAACATTGTCTACTTAGTCCCTGCAGCAGCCCTGAGACAGGGAGGTTCAGAATCAAGGTCTGCGTTGCTTCTCCAGCTGCTGGGTTTGCATGGGTGGTGAGTGGTAACATTTAGTGTGGCTGGGGCAGGATGGTGGTGTGGGGCAGGCCACACAGGCAAGCTCTGGGCTTTGGGGCCCAGGAGACCAGATGCTAGCGATTAGACTCTCAGCTGACACCTCCTATCTGGCCTAGCCCTCTCCCTGTGGCCTGGTATTTGAAGACATCTGTAATTTAGGTTCCAGGGCCTCGTGTCTTCTTGTTTGGTTGTTGTCACAGCCCCGGAGTCTCCAGCAACAGTTTATTTAGGGAGTCCCAGGTCCGCAGTCTGAGTTTGCATACCAGCCCAGACTCCATATTCTGTGATCGTCCTTTCTGGTGTTTCCATCTGTCCCAGGTGGCAACCAGAGTGTCCTGTCAGGACCACCTGAGGTCAGGAGGGTAAGCGGTCAGTCCTCCACACATCCTCTGAGCCACAAGTTTCCCAGTGTTTGCCCCTGAATTGGAATCCTAAGCCGTAGGAGGAATGCCTGCTTTGGCATCTGTTCCAACTAGTTCACCCAATGTTTGCACACGTGGGGTGACTGGGAGCCCTCCCGGGATATAGGAGACCCTGGTGGCTGGCAGTGTACTTCCAGGATGTGAAGGGAGAGGTCTGAGGAGGAGAGTGAAGTAATCAGCAGCAAAAGAAACCAGGGCCAAGAGGCACTGTGTCACCTGACCCAGGTCACTTAGCAGGCTCATTCCAGAGCAGGGCCTGAGATGGCCATGAGGATGGCGGTGAGGGCAAGGCCAAGGTGCAATCCCTACCTTGGTTCCCACAGGAGCTGGACCTGGTTGAGAGCCTGCTGAAGAGCAGACCAGAGGAGCCTGAGGGCTGCTGGGATGCCTGCAGCGTGGCAGCGGGGGGCTCTCGAGCCAGTTCAGGCCGCCAGGATCGCCGCCCCCTGCCCTGGGAAGACCCAGCCAGCACAGAGGAAGATGCCTCCAAGCTGACTGCCCTGCGACTTCGGCTGGATGAGTCCCAGAAGGTGCTGCTCAAGGAACGAGAGTGAGTCCTGGGGAGAAGTGGGGCCGGGGGCTGGGCGCCCCAGAATCCCAGGTGAGCCGGGGCACAAGTTCATATTTTACTTTGACTTTCAGTGGATTGCGGTTTGGTTTTGGAGGGGTTGGGTTTTTGTTTTGGTTTGGTTTTGTCTTTTGAGCTAAAACCCCAAACACACAATCTAAGATTTTAGAGCAGCGCCAGGCATTGGTGGCGCACACCTTTAATCCCAGCACTCGGGAGGCAGAGGCAGGCGGATCTCTGTGAGTTCGAGGCCAGCCTGGTCTACAAAGTGAGTTCCAGGACAGCCTCCAAAGCCACAGAGAAACCCTGTCTCGAAAAACCAAAAAAAAAAAAAAAGATTTTAGAGCAGTGAACCCACTACAGTGTCTTTTTTGTTTTTATAAAGATTTTTAATTTTTTTATTTTATTTTTATGTGTGCCTGCTTGGCTGGGTAGTTTTGGCGATGGCAGCAGCACACACTTTTAATCCCAATACCAAGGAGGCAGAGGCAGGCGGATCTCTGTGAGTTTGAGACCAGTCTGGTCCACAGAGTGAGTTCCAGGACAGCCAGGGCTACATAGAGAAACTTTGTCTCAAAAATCAAATTATGTGTGTGAGTGGTATGTATGTATGTATGTATGTATGTATGTATGTATGTATGTATGTGTACCATGTGAATGTCTGGTGCCCATGAGGGCCAGAGAGAGGATTGGGTCCCCTGGAACTGGGTTATAGATGTTTGTAAACTGCCATTGTG